TCGTTGGGCAGGCGCATCTTACCACACGCGGCCAAAGACACGTTTCGGGTATATGTAACTGTGTGTAAGTCCGCGATGGTAGCATCCAACGAGTTTCAAACCAAGTACGGGAACATTCCGAGTGAGGAAGTAAAGCAGATCACGATGTAGCCATTCGTGGACAGCTCAGGGGAGAGCGTAATGATGTGCTCAACAGTAGTAGGGAAACGATGCAGAGAACTCTCATGCTAGCATCAGAACACAACGAACGGCAGTAACCAGAGGCGTTTAGTAGAGTATGCTACTGCTGGGCCTTAGTCGATTGGTACTCCCTTATTAGTAGTTATATATGCTTTGCATTGCCTCAGGGTAGCGATGTTATTCAATGCTGTAGTTAGCGGCTTCTCGCGTATGCTGTGGTGAGAGATGATGCACAGTATGTTATACATGTTTCTCATGTCTGTGACGAGTGGGTTACTATTGATAGACTGTACTATCAACTGTTACTATACTGTTGATATTGTTCCAGCCTAATAACTCCCACTCATATTATTTTTATTATCAATAGTAATAGGTCTCTATCTTCTGAAGATAGATCACTCCTGTCTCTAGATCCTTCTACCATTATCCATCTCAACATCAAGCCTTGAATCAAAGCTTGATGTTGAGATGGATAATGGAGAGTCTAGGTCTACCACAGGATACGACTGGACTGATTTAGTCACAGGATGACGATGATCGCCATAGTGTGAAGGCAATCTCGGAATTGGTCTGTGCATTGAATAAGTGAATAGAGAGAATCCTTTGGCATTTCTGTATTAGATTGTGAGTTGGAGGTGGTATGGTATGACCCGAGGCAGAGCACCATGGGGTGATCGAAAAAGGGACAATTGTGTGCACTCTACACTTGTGTCGATAGCTAGCCTTTGAATTTGCAAGTTCTTGATGCTTGTTAGTTGTGGAATATCACTCATCATAAGTATTTCAGTTTCTCCAATTTGCGATTGTCCCTAATGGCAAACTGCTGTACATGTCTTAGCAAATCTGCTAACATCATATTCTGCCTCCTTCTATTCATCATTGGAGGTTTTGTCGCTGGTGTCGGTATATGGTATCTCGTCAGCGACTACAAGGATTGGGTTCCCGAGTGGTGGATTTGGATTGCCGTTGTTACTGGCATTCTTCTGGCTATATTATCGTTTGTTGGTTGCTATGGCTCGTTGAAACGAAATAAATGCGTGTTGTCTTTCCTGTGGGTGGCGTCTACTGTGTTGTTCATTCTCTTCGCAATAGCTGCTATTGCATCTACTATCTTCTTTGCTGGTGTCGATAACCTCAACGGTAAGACGGCTCAGCAGTTACTTGAAGTTAGTGGTAACGATGGGAATGTGTACAAGCAGATTAGGGATGGTTACATTGCTGTGTTCACTGATGATGATTGCAATGTGAAGTGTAGCGTCGACGATGGTAAACTATACTGTGGATCCATCACATGTGAAAGTGAGGCGATAGAAGATCAGCTTAACCGCTGGATTGGTCCCAGTTGGTGGACAACTGATGTGAACTCCTTCGAAAAGTGTGTTGCTGCTGCTACTGTTGAAGACAACCCTAATGAGATGGCGGCTGAAGCGTGGTGTGCTAGTAACACTTATGCAATTGATTGGTTTTGGGGCTGGGTCTTGGGGACAATGATTGTGTTGTGGTTCATCGTTGTGTTCACGTTGTTCATGGCTGTTGGTAACTGCGTTTTGATGTGGTCACATTCGCATCGGAAAGATGCTGTGGTTGTGGCACCGAAAGCTGAGATGGTCAGAACGCCTCCTATGAATGGTTTCACAGTAGTTAAAGTATAGTTATGTGCAAGATCAGTTTCTTACGTGTTTCCCATTGAGTGTATTCTTTTGTAATTCGAATATCTCTCTTTTGGTGATAGTTGTCATCCGCCAGCGTTGAGGTGACGTTGACTGTTGTCATTGTTATTTGGTCGTAGTAGTTTTCGTGGTTGTTTCTTGTGGATGCATAATGCAAGGTGAATGTGTTCATTCTATCTTCCCTACGGAACTGTGTTTCTGTGAACAACGTCGATTTACTATGAACATTCGTGTTGACCTGTTGTGTTAGAGTGGATCAGAGTTGGAGAAGGAAAGTAAACTCTTCGAATTTTCATTATGGAAAAATATGCGAAAATTAACTTTAGTTTTTGACGACTCGTTTATAAGTGTGTTATTGAAAACCTTGCTGTCCGTTAACGTTGCTATGTTGCGATAGAACGGTTTGTTATCTATTGATTGTTTTGATCGAGATCTTTACAGTGCATGTGCATATCCTCTTACATTATTTACTTCATATTTATTGTTAATTTAATATCGACATCTATTATATTATCTTATAACTAGATCATGATATAAGCGATCTAGGAAGAGTAGTTGCACTCCATACTCTGTAAGTGTTGTTGTCTTTGCTTTAGGATATTCTGCGTAGCATCAGCCGTTTTGAATATCCTTGTTGGGAATTCACCAACGTTTTTTCAGGGAATATTTTCAGTATCAGTAGAAGTAAATATGAGTAAAAGGGAAATAACGAAGAATGAATTCGACGAAATGGGTTAACTTCAATTAACGAGTAAGTAGTTTAGGAATGTTTTATACCAAAACTTGGAATATTCGGCCTAAGTGGAGTTCGTCTAATTTCGTCCTGAGTTGTAGCAGAAAGAAGCCTTGTTCTCCATCAGATTGCATCACGTACTAGCGTCACGTAGCGCGCGCTAGTATTACATGTTGTCAATGTGAACTGCATTATTGCAGTTCTGCTGTTATTTTCAATGGGAGCTTGTGAAGAAGGATCGTCTTCTTCCCTATCTTTGTCATCGTCGTTCTCATCATCATCTTCGTCCCGTAGGCGCAATGGGGTTCTTTTCTACAATGCTTTTGTATTCGCTGCTGGTGGGGTGGTAGCCGGCATTGCCATATGGTACCTTCAAGCAAAGTTCAGGAGGCTCATGCAGGTGTGGTATGTATGGATTGCCCTTTTTATGGGCTTTGGTATGATGCTACTCTCAATCGTTGAAGTCATTCAACTAAAGCGACGGAATTCAGTATTGTTGATGTTAACTTGGCTGTGTTGGTCCGGCGTTTGCTTCGGTCTTCTCGTTGTTGCTTGTGGTTCGTCGCTGTACTACGCGACTACTACTAATCTCACCCACAAGTCGGCGTATGACATTTGGTACATACACAATGCCGATTGGAGTGTATATGATCATATTAGATGGGGCTTTGGTCAGGTTTGGAACGACGAAGGCTGTGACCTTACCTGTGATATCGGCAATACTACAGTGTCGTGTTCTACTGTGCAGTGCAGTACTTCGAAGATTGCTCAGCAGATGAACCAATGGATAGCAGAAGGCAACTACCAGACTCGCGGCGTCCCTGAGGCTGTTACATTTCAGAAGTGCTTGGACGAGACTATACTAACTGATGGTATAAATAGGAACAAGTCAGCCGCACAGGGTTGGTGCTCTGGCAACGCCTCTGTTGTTGACGATGTTAGTCACTATGCATTGGGTGCTATGATAGGCTTGTGGGTGGCCTTATTGATTTCTATGGTCCCTATGGTGTATGATCTATATCTACTGTGGGTATTAAGGAAACGACGAGCTCATGCTTACACTGCTCATGAAGATTTAGATGAAAATGGAGGAATTGGAGAAGAGGAAGACGGACCAAAGAAGACGCCACCTCAGACTGTCACAGTCGTTCAAATTTGATTCCTTGTCTATTGCATCGTCTCTCGTATAATCGTTGGTGCATTCCCTCGTATAATCGTTGGTATATCTTTGTATACAGTTCTACGCGTTTTGTCCGGTTGTTGTCGTAGTAGATACTCAGCCATTTGGCAACTTCTTCTTCTTCCTGCATGGCCCGTGTCGTGTTCTAAGTTGTGATTATGTGATGAAGTGATCCTACTCAGTGAATATTAATAATCAATATAGGTGTACCGTCGCCCTGTTGGATTAGCGATATAAAGCTGCGTGTTTATTTTAGTCGTCATCATTCTTTCTAGTTGTATTTCCCTGCTGAATTGTGACCTTCGTATCTTCGCCTTCGGTTGAACATACTAATACTTTCGTACGATACTGCACTGTTGTATTCAGTTCAGCCAGACTGTAGTAGGAGTAGCTAGTCGAGGGTATGAGTTAGTCGTGGTTACACTGAACGACATTGTTTGTTGGGAAACTACTACTAAGAGGAGATGAAAAGGGCTCCTTTTCAGCTGCGTCAATTTCATTATTCTGTTTACGATTAGTTTTTCTGGGCAGTTCACATTTTTCGAGAAATGTCATCTCACTCGGTGTTGGAAGAAGAGAACAGTCGTTATCCCACAGCTGAGACAGGGTAAGTGCCTTTAGGATCTTCTGAGTTCACAGCTCAGGAATATATGTTCGCTTTTTTCAGCTGATCTCAGGAGTTTTCAAAGCTAAGTATAGAAGTTTCTCGTACGAATTTGAGTAGAAGTGTACAGAAGCAAACAAGAATTTGCCAAAATTTTTCACGTGTAGCTTTTACTGTACATACAACCCTCGAGCTGTCACCATCACCAATATGTGGAGAAGTGTCTTCATCAGGTCCAGCGCTCCTCAAACGGCAGAGGAAGATGCTCCTAATGAGCCATCCTTCATCCTAGTGCCCCCTCGTTTCTACACTCCTATAGACGACTCAGTAGATCGATACACCAAAGCCTTATCACAACACTTGCTGATGCAAAGGGCCAGACAGAGAGTGCTCAACGACAACATTGCTGAGGCCGTAATAAGCCGCTCGAGTATGCTCCTCATAATGCCCTACGTATAGGTACATCTTTCCTTTTCTGTAGCTCCAGAGCAGCCGGCCTTCGCTAAGGTAGAGGCGAATATCACTGTAAGCAGGGTCGGAATATATGTCGGCTTCTTTCAGCTGAGCTCAGATGTTCTCAAAGTTATATTGAGAAAATCTACATACGATTTAGGGTGTACAAAAAATAAGGTTAATTTCCCGGAAAATTTCCTCAGAATTATTATCAAGACACATAGTTGACCATGCGCATCTTTCCCCTCCCCCCTACACGGTGTTGTTAACTGTGATACTTGTAGATACCATACACTCTCGACCTCAAGGGGGCTATGACAAAGGTAGACGGTCTCGATACAGGAATGAACGGACTCCAGATGAAAGTGTCTCTGCCTCCTGAGTGAGTACCACCTGCAGTATATGTTTTCTCTACATTCTATTCAGGGGTACATGGTCCCCTTTCAACGCGGCTGGCCGTCTGCGTTTGACTACCTCGGGTGGCTTATCAGCCAGCGGTTTCATATCCCGTCCGATTGGTGTAGAGGAGGAAGCGACCGCTGCTATTTTTGGCACTTTAGGCCAGGGCCTGACCATCGACGATAACAACATTGGTGAGATATGTGTTGGAAAATATTTGATCGCTTTCCTCAAATGAAGTTGGAAATTTCCTCACTTATGGATGAGTTCATATGCGGACTCGGGCAGAAGTTTACAGAAACCAACTAGAATTTCCTCAGAATTTTTATATTGTCACCAACATATGTGGTCGAGCATGTGGGGCCTATCTTGACAAGTATTTTGGTACCTTAGGTTTCCGCGTGGATTACAAAGATGCTTCCTATGGTGTCTGCCTCGAATCCAGTCATCATACCACTACCAACTGTGGTGGTCTTCCCAGCACTGCGCCCTCTACGACCAGCGAGAGCTGTGGCGTCAGCGGCAGCTCGGTGGCTTCTTCCTCCTCCACTGTTGCTGAGGAGACGACATGTCCTTCGTTTTCGGGATGGGTTTGGGGACGAACGCAGTTTGGTGAGCTACAGCTACTCATAGGATGCACAGATGACTCCGACAGGTCTCTCTGGAGGGGTCCAAACTGGAATAGATGCCCACGGCGAATCTCTGGGGTAGGCCGGCGAACGTATATTAGGTTCACTCGGGCGTTCCACAGTTACCGTTGTGTTGGAGCCTTTTCCTCGGCCTCGGGAGATTCGAATTATATACCAAATGGTGGTGACTATCAGTTGGTCGGTGAATACAATAGCGCAACTAAGTCCGTTACGGCTGCCTACCATCAGCTTATAGTCATGCAACGGAAGGTGCCGGGATCGAACCTCTGCGGGTTATCATACACCGGGTTTTCAGTGCTACAACCTTCTTGAGGATAAACACATCTCAGCAATAGCCAACTACGTCGATGTAGCAGTGGAGGCCACTCGTAACGGAGATACTGGCAAATCCGAAATTGCAGTCGGCGCTTCTTGGCAACCCAACAGAGTAAACCTCCAAGCAATCGACCCCTCCTCACACGTGCTTGTCAGACCTGGCTCATCAAGGCACGGCTATCCACCCTTGCTGGGGTCGGCCTCACAGTAGCGGCTAAGTCGTGGTCGCAGATGAATGGTGTTGTCGCTGCTACTGTTGGTCTGCGAAGCTCCGGACCGTAATGTCTACCACTTGAAATCTTGCTCGCTCTTGCATTTGCTCAAATTTCAGTTACTTCGGGCTGCGATGTCATTTTCAGAATTGGGGTTCTGAAGTGTTTGGCAAGGCGGCGGAGGACAGCAGTCCTGTTGGAAATAAATGGGCACCACTTAACGAGTAAAAATTTCGCGCGCCACAAAAATATTTTAATGATATTTTCTTGACGAAAGTGGTTGAGTTATTGAAGAACACAAAGTTAGTTTTGTAAGAATAGAAAACGTTGGGTGCTCGAACTGCATCAGAGCGAAGGTAAACGATTTTGCCAATCTTTCGGATTAGTGACGGGCCTGATGATAGACAGTGTTGTTGCTTGTTGGGTTGTTCTAAACTTACTGAAATCGCAAAGCAGCGTTCTTGAGAGCGGTAGTGCTAGAAGTGGTAGTCGTAACGGTTAACCTCTGCCGTTTACTGCGGATGGCATCGGACCACAACCAGCAGTCCTCAAGGGAAGCCGACACTTCATCGTTATTCTCCTCATTTTCACCTATAACAAAATACGAGTAACAGCTTCCTATGTGAGGAGACTACAAGGCTTCATCGCTATGCTATGTAAATATGAGGAAAATTCGTTACGAATTTACTCTCAAGAGAATTTGAAAGGATCAGTGGTGCGAAATTCTCGTTCGCCCAATATATGCAAGTAAGGGTCATCTAAGCTTTGTTGAAGTGCCGGTCTGAACTACTGCTGAAGTAGCAAAAAATAGTTAATTTTCCAAATTTGCCTTGAAAAAATAAACGCCTTAGATTATGATGCATCCCTAGTAATATCGTCAAGTTCAAATAGATGAGGTATTGATGAAATATTTCTCACCTGTGTTCGCTTCCATGCGTTTAACAGAGATAGTGCCACTGGCTTGGCTGCCGCTACTGCGGTCCAAATCTCGGGAGAATCTTTTAAATTGAGGAACTATAACCTTCGAGCATTCAGGATCATAATGGAACCTATAATGAAGAACTACAAGCCCTGTTACATATACGCAGATGATACCCAGCAGCGATGGCAGTCCAGTAGAGGCAAACTGGATGAGTGTAATCAAGTCCAACGATCATGCCTTCCTCATCGAGGCACCCTCGGACCGAGCCGAACCTGCCAATGAGACACCTGCTAGTGAATATCGTCGGAGCAGCCATTTGCCTACTTAGTGAATATCTCCAACAAGGTATGTGCAGGGTCCCTTCCGAAGGGTGTGGTGACCAAGGCTTCGCCCATGGCCTTGGCCATCCATGGTGCGGCATTCTTACTACCCCCTAGGGTAGCATCCACGCCCATAACGCCTCGACAGAGACCCTCGAGGAGACCCGTGGCATCCTCTTGGCTGAGCAGTAGCCGTAGAAGCTTCGGTAACGACTCGAGACAGGTGGCGAGGGCTGCTTGGACCGGCTGAGAGGAAAGCACAGTCGGGCCACGAT